GCCTTTCCTTTGTCCTTGTAATAAAAGCATTTGTGAAGAAATTCACACTGCACATGCCATCTGGCATCGGTGGAACGAAATATGAGTGCACCCTAATTAAAATCGTAAAATTTCTGACAATGAGCACCGCCATTCACTCCAATATCACCCCTGCACCGCTGACCCTCATTCCAAAAGAATGTGCTGGTTGGGCGACATAACAGGTTACCGCTACTGTTTATTCCAAAAACATTGTGCGTCTTTCGGTATTAATTTATCTCAAAACCCAGCATTTTAATTTCTCAGAAACGATCATTGCGGGAAAATTGTTGGCCGGGACTAAGATTTTTGAACGATCGATGCGATAAAACGATAGTTCGAGGAACGATAGAAGCGGGAAAATGTAACATTATTTTATATGGGATGTATTCGGGACCGAACAAAACGGACGATGCATCCGGGAAAACGATAGTTCCGGGAACGATGGATAGAGGTTTCACTGTACTTACAGGTCCATATAGCATCACAATCTTAAACATCATTCACGCCAATTTATAAGATTCCAAAGTTCTGGCTTTGATATGTATTCTTTATACAGAGATAATGACCTACACAATAACCCAGGATTGATTTAAGTTTGAAATGTCCCAAGTCAGAACTAAATTCATTATGTGCAAATGTGATGAATCAAGTGCTATGTACCTTAAATCCTACCAAATTCAAAAATAACTTACCAACACTGTTGACAACCAGCGATATGAGTCCATCATCAACAAACACCCTGTTTCCCTGCTTCACCACCTTAGTGATATTCTCATAATCTACAAAGACTATTTGAGTGCTTCCTTTCTCAGCAAATGCCTTGTCTGTGGTTAACTTGATTGAGTCACCTTTTTTCAATTCAACTTCAGCTGACCCACCCTGGAAGGAGAGATAGTTTCATGAAGGTTATAAAAATCATAAGACTTTCAGTTTGGAGCATAAGTCCAACATTTCATAGCCCTTTTCTGCTTCCCCCACCAGGGAATAATGAATTACTTACAAAACAATTTTGTCTCTAGCCATGGAACTTGTCAAAATTTATTTCAGTCCTTCCAAAAAAATAAATTACCGCTTTCTGACCACTTTCTGGAAATTTATAATTCATCATAACTTTGAACATCACAATCACTTCACTGTAGGAAAATGGAAGTCATTAAAGTTAAGGATGCAAACTTTTGTCAATGAAGGGCTTACATACTGTATTAATCCCACACAAAAATGCTGTACCTCTCTTTTATGATCTTTTACATCTACCTTGTCATACTAAGTTAACCCTTTCAAGTACAGTGATAACTATATTTACCACCTGCTAACACAATCAATACCTCTGCATTCTGTATTCATTTCTTTTCTACATTTCTCAGTGTACACAAAAATCACTTCCTTCAGCACCATTAAACTGATTTCGTAATGGAGAAGAGCCGCATACAATTTGAACATGTAGCCAATGCATGCAACACAATATTGCCCTTCAAAACAAAACAGCCATTAAAGGCAATGATCCTTTACACATAAAATATTGTTATTAACAGAGCAGGTCGGGAATTTCGTGAACATATGAAATGTATACCATTTTACCACAAAATTTCTCATTAACTAAAAGGCACAGGAATGAAACTAAACACATTTGAGTGTTATACCATCAAGTTTTTGTGACTACATTTTACAGGGGCACCATGAGTGGCTTAACACCTATAATCTGTATTAAATTTTAGTCCACACGTTGTTAAGAAAGTTGAGGATAACTGTACCCACGGCATTTTTTATACATCCACCAACTTCTGGGAAAGTGGTAGTCAGTGGTGGAACATACACAAGATCCTTGATGTACCCCTGAGGGAAAAAATCAAGGGGAGCAAGGTCAGGTGAACAAGGTGGTTAGACCCCCAGAAATTTGCAATTCAAGAAGTCTGTCACTGCCTTGTGGAGATGCTCCATCTTGTTGGAACAGCATGTCATCAGGAACCTCTTCTTCCAGAATAGGCAAGAGGAATTCCTCTACTTGAGATGCCATTTTAATAGCTGAGCGTAGCACTTTAGGTAGAAAGATCTTTTAACTCAAGTGGCACAAATTACAATCTTAATCATATAACCTACTCAAATATGTATTTTCCATCCCTCTGCCTTTCAGTTCATAAGCAATATTATAGCAAAATGGTACACATTTTATGTGCATACCCTGTAAAATACCATCTTGAAGACATTCAGAAAGTATGGCACATTGTTTCATATCACACAACTTCAGTTATCCACTGTCTTCAGATTATTTATATTTTATAGACAAATTTCTGACGTATGAAAATACTACAGGTAAAATTAAGCAATGATTTAGTGAATTTAAAAATAACTTTGACTAGAAAGTGATGTACATACAAAAGCATACATCTTGTAGTGGACTATCAGTCATTTACTTGAATTCTAACATAATCATTCTGTTCAGAAACATTACCCCTTCCAACAATCCTGTGCGAATCTCGGGGCCCTTGGTGTCCAAGGCGATAGCCAATGGATAATTCATGCCTATTTTCTTGCTATAGTTAGCAACAGCTTTTCTGATATTAGCAATGGTCGCTCCATGATACTCATGACTACCATGTGAGAAGTTGAGGCGAGCAATATTCATCCCAGTTTCCATCATCTTCTCCAGCACTGCCACATCTTTGGATGCAGGGCCTAGAAAAAATTATCAAGACATAATTAACATAACTTCTCTTAACAGAGTGTCAAAAGCTGCATAACAAATTCAAAAGAATTTGCCAGACAATTATGTAACAATAATACATCTTAGAGAAACATTTTTATTCTGGTGTTAGCATGTATGTGTCTGTCTCCGTAATATATTGTAAACCAGTAGCAAATTTTCATGAAACTTAGTATGAATGTCATGCTATAGGAAATCACCACGTCATCTTACTTCTAACATTCAGAATATGAATAAAATGTCTTCATGGCATAACACTTAAACATGAAGGTAACTTCACTTACAGCATCAGCAATACTAACATGGTTGTTGACCAACAAATGAGATGGAAACAACACTAAAGCCATTTAAATTACACAACAGAAACTTTTTGTGGTGACAGATCTTTAGAGCCATATCAAGCAACAAAATGATGAACACATAAAATACATCATGGAAATAAAACAGAAACCCATCTGAGGACATTACCATAAACATGAACCATTGCAGCGAAGCACAAAGTCTGGTTTGGTGTTATATACTAAAGAAACAAATTGTGAACATTTTCATCAGTTAAAAATCATTAGCACAGTGACGTTACAAAACTCTGTGGTAATGTCTAACAACTCTTACATCGGGAAAATCAACATTAATATAAATTATGCACACAAATACATCAATCAAGTATTGTATAATTACAAATTTTGATAGTCTCTATGTACAGATGAAATCATTGTACAGACAGTATCATACATTCCTCCAATTTATTTATTTATTCACATTTCAAAGACATTAAAGTGATGCACATACATATTTCCATTTTGCCTGTGATTTAAAAACCAACATTATATAAGTGTTTCAATCCAGAGAGAAAATAAATCAAATGCTTATGTTATCATTCCAATAAAGCCTCCTAAAATTAACATATCACCCACCAATTGTGCAAATTATTCCTGACAAACGGACATATGAAGCTTTTGAGTCGATATCAAGGGCACACACGTGATCCAATTGTGATGAAGCACCTGCAGCCTGCAACTGCATCCGAGGGACAAAGCTTGAAGGGGTGTTCATCTGTGTTATAACAAAAATAACAAATTTATTAATTCAGATTTTAAAACCATATTACAAGTAATTAAGCACAATGCATGACATATGAGAAAAAATTAAAATTATCTGTGCAGAATTCCACTTGGCCCAGCTCCATTTGAAATTAATATATAAGAACAATGATGGTTCCAGACTGTGTGAAAGAGAAGCTGGTTACCATTTTGCTTCTTCCCACTCCATTACAAACACTAATTAAGGAAAACGTTTACTGAACTTGAAATTTGGATATCTAATTTCAGTTTTCTTATCCAATTTATAAATCTGTGCAAAATAAAAACAATTCATCCACAGTCCTACAATATTAGACAACAGTAAAACAAAATTCTTGAAAGATAAAACACATTTTTGAATTTTGTTTTAAATTTTTTGAACAGTCATATTTGAGTGAGATGATATCTGCAATCCATACCCCAAAGGGTAGGATGAGTTCAAAAAACATTCAAATGAAATTTATAGCAGCCACCAACAAATTGCATGCTTGACGGCCACGTAAGAACTTCACTCCCCTTACTGTGTGGCTCTATGCCAACAGGACAGCACTGCTAGCTTCACTATGCTGTCAGTTCTGATCTGTCTTAACTCACCTGTGCTCCACTATGTGTGTTGCAATGCAATAGGATTTTGCTGTGACCTTGAAGCATGCAATTTGATGACAGTTATTATGATAAAAGGAGAAAAGGCCATGTGATTAATTTAAATTTAGTACACAGAAAATTACATCTTAATTTTAACACCCCTCACAATAAAGAACAAACTTAAATCCTGTTTGAAAACTGACAATAAAAGTGAAAATACTTGCAAGGTAACAATGCTACAATGAAACAACTGTTTTTCCTACTAACATGCTGAGTCTACCTATAGCATGCCAACACGAACTCAAACAGCATATTTGGTACAAACAATTAAAAAATGCAAAACGTATTTACAAGTACATAACCATGCAATATCAAATGTACACAGAGAAATCAGTATGTTACATAAACATAACGGGCAATGCTTGAGTAGAGTATTATGTTATGCACACAAAGTTAACAAACACAAAAAACTACTGATTCATTGTAAATAACCTAGAACGTTTTCAAACTAATTCCACTACACACAGTGTCAACATAAGGAATAAGTACCAGCTTCACAAACCAGTTGCCAACCTCTCATGCTTTCAGAAGAGTGCATATTAAGCTGGCATCAAAGTTTCAATAGTCCACTGTTTAGTCCTGTAACTCTTATATATAAAAAGGCACAATTTAAAGTAGTACTAAAAGGATACTTCATTACACACTCCTTTTACTCTGTTGAATTTCTAACGTTTACAAATAAATCCAAATGTTCACAGTTTTCTTATCTTCACACATACTATAATGGATGGATTTATTTGTAATATTTCACTACTTTATATGAACCCTTATTTTAGGTGAAATCTTAATAATAGTTTGTACAGTACTTGTATATATGTACTGTATTATTATGACATATTCCACACACTTATTGTCATTTGACTAACTTACAGATAAAAGGAATGTAATAAATATGTAAGTATGTATGGTATTCAGATAATCCTGAAGTGATATTTACCACCTATTATAATTACATAAGATTCATAGTTAAGCTAAACTCACCTCCTGAGTAAATTTGCATATAAAAGAAATAGAAACTATTAGTAATGAACATAAATCTTCACTAAATCTCAATTTTCTTTGGCTATCAGAGGTATTTTTTGTTAGTTTACTGCACCAACTGCAAAGGTTCCACATTAGGAGTATTACGAACAACAAAATAACATGGATATAGGAAGGCACACCGATTTTCTAGTACAATCAGCATTTGCATTAAGGGGCTGAGAAAAATAATAAAACACCTCAATCAAAATAATTAGTCTCATGGCTGAGATTTACTAATAATATTCAGAATATAAAAAGGAGTGCTAACCACTACACTTCAGTCTGGTTTTCAAAATATTTCAATGTCAAATATGTTAGTGGAGTACTGAATCTGCAATAATAGCATATAAAAGGGAGAGTCTGATCAAGGACAGGCAGATGTCCACTGTATGAAAACTGGCCAGGCTAACTACAAAGTGTGAACTATACAAGTTAAATGTTTCTTCAAGGTAGTATTGCAACATGCCTTTGTAATTTCATAAATGTGAATCATCACAAAGAAGGGTTCAATGTCACAATTATTATTTAAAATCATAAATATATATCAGTTTACTGATAAAATTTGCATAACACTATTTGATACATAACTTTATCATTCCAAATAATAAACACCCTGTTGCTATGGGACAGTTCCAGGACCTAGGGTGGTTACAAACCAGGATGTGTGGTACTGAAGTTCATAAATGTTTTAAGTATGATTAAATGTGCACATATTTAATTAATTAAAGTTCTATATTTAAGTAACATGAGGCCTTTGAGCCATCATCGAGCTATAAAATGATGGTGTGTGATTTGTGGGCATTTGAACTGGACAAGATTAAACATGAATAAATTGAAACAAACAACTATGCATGAAATCAAGCAAAGAAGGACTCTTGAAAATATATAATTTGGAACAAGTGATAAGCAACAGAACTAGCTAAGCACTTTAATACGACAAGAGCTGCAGAAGTTGTAAGCACCAAAAGAATGTTTTGTGTAATTCAACTGAGAAGTCAGGTATATTCTGATAAACATAACATGAATTCTTTCTAGCTGAAAATGAAACACACTTAATATTAGTGGCAAAAGATAGCGATTTAGTCATGACTGTCCTATGTGGTCTAGATGAGAAATGGGACATCTAATGTCAATATGCATTTATCTGAAACAAAGTTCACATATGCTGATGTGAAACTGAGGTTACAAGCAGAAAGAAAAAGAAAAAATAGAGCATGACAAACAAGCAGCAGGTTATCAATACTTTCAACAAATATTGTGATGAAGGACATCGATTAAACATATGAAAGAAAGTTATAAATGAAACAGACATACAATTACACAACACTGATATTTAAGTACTTTTCTAGGTGTTGAAGAAAAAACAGGCAAAAGACAGGCAGTGTAGTATGTAATATGAAGCTAACAAAGTAACAACACAGACACATGAATAGATTACAGGATGACATAACATGACATCACAAAAATATTAAGTTCTTCCAATACTGGGCACAAGTAAAGGAAACTGAATACATCTTAGAAATCAAGGATAGAGCTGTTTTTGACAGCAACAGTTACATTTGTGATAAACATGTTAACATGGTCAAAGAGGCAGAGAAAGAGAAAAGGTTAAACACTGTGAGAACATCACACTCCTGAGAGAAGCTGACACATACATAAGATTAAAGGTAATATAAGAACAAAAGAATATTCTAAGAACAATAGACCTGTGACATTACAGTAATAGGCATTAAATAAAAGTAGGATTCTAAAGTTGGCCAAGAAGCAAGGAGTGAGAAGACTGATCTGCAGGCAGGAGAACTTACAGTGTGTGCTGACTGTTTAAAAGACAAATCAGAAAGACAGCCATTCACAAGACATCCACTGGAAGGAATGATGAATGAAATAATACCACTAGCTCTCCTGTGCAGCAATCTGACGGGACCACTCAATACACAAAGTTGAGGTAGAGTAAGGTACATCGTTAGAAAAGCTGATGAAGCAACCTGATATTTGCAAGTATACTTCCTGTGGAACAGATAACTGTTACAGAGGTTTCAAAAGTAGCTGAAAGGGGCTGAAATACATTCTGAGGAAATTAACAAGCTAGGAAAGGTACACTGAGGTATAATTATCCCTGTGTTTGACAGACTCTGACTTGCAAGCAGTTCCAGTGGCCTTTCAGCTATGTCAGGTAAATGACCTTTGCATAGGTGGAGCTGTCTAGCCCATCTCACTGGACAATGTTGTCATCACAGAGTGGTTTCTCCATGGGAAATCCCCATGTAACCATAGTAATGAAGACACCCCTGTGAATTCACTACCCAGTCTCTTCTACACACAAACTGCACATAGGTCTTCATATACAATGCCCATTATTGTTTTCTGATTTAAACAAAACTGAAATGTGTCAAAACAATTTAGTGAAACTACCACATATCACATCTGATGAAAAAGTAATTTGGCTGGTCTCGAGTTCTTATATATAGAGGGATGGACAGACAGCTAATCCCTATCTCCAGATTAGGTCTATCTATTGGGCCCAACAGAGTAGGTACCTGAATACGGAGATAGAGCCCCGTCTCCGAAACGTCATTTTCTATTTTATTATTTTACTAGACGATGGAAAATATCCAAGAAACTTCTTATTCAAATAACTCACCATCACAAACTTTTAGACTCCTACAAAATGCTGTGCATATACAAAACCCCTTAAATAACATGCAAAATGGCACTTTTCAACAGCTACTGTAACTGCCAGCCCACTTTCCTCATGCAAGGTACTACATGCATTTACTCATTCTTATCAGGCATGAAAGTGAAACCAAAAATTTGTCTTAACATTCACAAATTATTTAGCAATTCTACAACAAACTAATTACATTTTATGAATGTTATCAACCACTCAATGTAAAACAATTTATTATTAATCAAATGGGCATAAAATAGGTGACTTACATACCAAAAACTTTGCAAAACTAGTCAAATGTAAATAAAATGTCATTCTGTAAACTAAATCAAACTTTCTACATTCATAAACAGAAGGGATATACAGGGAAGGGTAAAACACACACTTTAAATTTTCTCTTCTTACCTTATCTGTATCATAAATAGTAGACCACACCATGGTTCCAGTCTTTTGAAAATGAAACAGACAAACTATATTGATATTCTTGATTACGGTTTCAGAACAGAAATCGACTAGTTTCCCAACTGTTATTGAAATGCCCTTGCCAGGTCCCCACCTTGCACAACAACCCTGAGCACCTGCACGACTGAGCCACATCCACAGGAAAAACTTAGGAACTCACCAAGCCCTCTTGGCATAGCTAAAGCAGAAGATCCAGTCAGACCTCTAGATTCCTAACCTGCCCAACTTCAAAAATAGACTGTGTTTGGTGCCAGCAGTGTTCAGAAAGCCACACGGCTTGTATTTCTAGAGTAGCCTAATAAACTCTCAATTTGCAGTCAACATCTAATAATTCTTTTAGTTCATAAGCCTTTACAAAAGATTAAGCTAAGTGATATTAAGAAGAAAATGAAATGAGACAAACAAGTCTCAAGAAATACAGCAGGTATGGTAACTATAGATTTCCACATCTCCTTTAAAACATGTTTGTTTTTATCAGTAGTCAAGGCAAAATTTTATTAAAACTTAAACATATTTTGATTATATAGATTTTAAAACATTTTTATATTTTGAAGGTATCCCCCCTCGAAGGTATCACCACCTTGTTTGAGCTTATAATAGTAAATGGACTGCAATGGCAATCATTTTATTTTCATTATCTTTCAACATCTTTTACTTCTGACACATTTTCATGCATACTTCACATTTAGTGAACAAGCTAACTTAGCAGTGGTACTGCCATATGAGAATATGTAGGGCAGAGTAGTTATTTTAAGTGCCAGTAACAAACAGTATACCACCATGCAGTGTGTTTGATCAGAGGGACAAGTTGCATTAACAAATAACTAAGAAACAATCTGCTGAAGAAACAGTATATTAATATGACCATGTGAATGTCATTTAATGTTAATTCCAGTGTGGTGATGACCATTCCAGTGGTAAATTATGTAAAAATCTGAAATAGTTTGTTATTCATGTACTGATAAAGTATAATATAGCTATTTGTCTATAAAACAATCATTCTTTTATTTTACGTACTTTCATTGTCCATTTATTTTATAAATATTACATCAAGTGCCAAGGTTACGCAGAATCACAGTTCACTTGTTCACCTGAAGATATCTCACCCAACAATAATGTATAGATTTATAGATTTGTGACTAAAATTCCTTGCAACATGGTCAGTACTGGACAAGAAATAATTCTTATTTTGTACCTGATTGGAAATTGTTCCTTGCTGAACTAATCGCAAGTATATTAGAATTAACACAAAACAAGATTATTCTTGATCAGTACCATAAAGCAAAGGTCACCAACCTGTGGGCCACATGTGGCCTTCGAAACCTTTTCATGTGCCTTGTCACATGATACAGGAATTGGCCAATACAAGAAGGGCAAACATTTTCCTACTGAGGAACATTGACATAAACATGTATATACATTATCTAATATAATTAACAATTATATTTTTTAACGATCAGTGAGTAACAAAATTAAAATTCACCAACAATGAAATAAAAAAGACAAGGGTTTTGCTCATGATTGTCTCAATAGCTGAGGTCTTTCCATGTGTGTTGCTGAAAAGAGATCACCAGTGCCATGGTAAACAGGTACACATCCAAAATCACAACTAAAATATGACTGCTGTTGTAGGCCTGAATTTTATATTGCATGTGCCTGTAGTTCAGCAAAACTTACCTTCAACCAGAAGTTAATGTCTGAACTACATAATCACAAATGAGTTCAATTTAATAAACCTGATTTCAGAAAACAATCCAAATTTGTTTTTCATTTCCTATACTTGAGATTATCACAAACATACAACTTTTCAATGGAATGAAAACCCTAATAACAAATAATATTTAACAAGAGCATACACAGGAAGCCAAAATCAGGGCACTCACCGTATGTTTAAAACGTATTTACCCTAAGCTTAATGCCTTACAAGCTACAATTATTGTCAAAGCAGACAACACCCGCTCTAATCACGAAAATCCGGTTTTCAAACTGATTCCGAACTTGGCCGATAAAAAGCATAATATTGCACAATGAAGGGCAAGGGCATTCACCCTAATACAGAAAATACGTTACTCCCAACTTGGATCCCTAAAATAATTATAAATTTGGGAACTAATTTGTACTTCTTTAAACTGTTTTACATGACCGTAAAATGGTCACGAAACAATCAGAAAATTGTAGAACAGAGTTCACATTACACATCACAAAGAAACTATTTGTTTCCGTAAAACATAGATTAGAACATGAATGTTTGTAACTGGGGATAACCTAACCATCCTTCCCTCAATTCCAGTACCCACCTTCTTTTACAGCAGCCTCTACACGCCTTGAACACTCCTGACGATATGCAAAGAGGACATTTGAAAGGTCAAACCCACGACAGCGTTTTTTATGTGCCTATGAACTATGTGATCAATAGCAATACTATATCAAATGTAATTAAAACACAGATTAATTCCATTGCCTTATAAATATACAATTTAACTATTTACACTTTATTTGTATTCTATTAATACGCTTACCTCAAAATCTGTGTTTGTGTGTGTTACAATGATTTTAGTTTTTATATTATCAAAATTTGATTGGATGTTGCCATTGTATCAGCTGATACCAGTGTTACCATTCCTTGTGTGTATTTAGGGAGGGTGACTGCAATAACACCAAGGAGCCCGACCAAATGTCTAAACAGATCAAGATACCTTGAAAAGGGGCAGCCAAGACCCATACTGAATTGTATAGCCACTGGAGGAAAAAAAAGACTCTAGTAATAAATGTGTGGCCCTGTGAATTCAGTGCCTGGCACAGATAAACGGAACACAGTGTGGTCGAATTTAACCATTATGAAGCCTTGTGCAATGTTACGCCTTAGGAGGCTTATAACAAATATAAACATTTAATACAAAAGTAAATGTAAACAGAACTATTCAACTTCTAAACTAGATGAAATATAAAAATCATGCATACAAACAAAACTGTTTGCACATTATGTGTAAACAGTTTTGTCTGTATGCATGATTTTTATATATCAGTACTCTGCACAGTATAAAAGGTTTTAAGATTATTATTGACTGATTAAGATGCAACGAAAAACAAATTATCACACTAATAATAATTAACAATGGTATCGGCAGTTATAAGTTTCAGTATTTTACAGTAAAACAAAGAGATGTGAAGGGTTTGAAATAATATATCGTAAATAAATTTGATGCTTAATTTCTTGCTGACGTTTTCAGGGTAATGTTGTCAATCCGTTATCAACTGCCGCAAACGGAATATGTATGTTTTGCAATATTGTTTTCAGAAAATACCATCTCTTTTGAGGATACTTTCTCTGTTCTGGAAAGCGTTCTGTTTAAATAATTTTAGTTTCTTCTTCAACCTGTATTGTCTGTTCAATTGTATGCTTGCCTGTCACAAGCTTTTTGCTGTTGGTAAGCACTCTACTAAAAGGCACTGAACTGAATTTAAAATGTATGTGTCATGCTCAGGCCAATGCACCAAGCTGTAGCGTAATATCAGGCCAAATGGGAATCTATGGTTAGACGTGCTTGTTATCTTTTCAAATCTTTTTATTATTCTCGAAACCTTTCTATGACCATTCATTGTCTATTATGCCAACACTGCTCTTATTTTCCTTAAATTTGATTTTTCTGTCTAAAATTTTCCGTCTAAAAATTTTGCCACACACTTTTCCGCTAGTCAGTTGTTACGCACCATGCTACTGACCTCGGTGTATCAGCATAATTTAATTACTGTACACACCTAAACATGGCGGTTTTTTATGGGAAGCAAACATAAGAAGACAGCGAAAATCACAAATATATAGACAAACAAAAGAGAAGTTTTAATTTTTTAAGCTAAATAGGAAATGAATCATCTGCGAGCTATCTAGTTTATAAATAATGTAATTGTGTAGCCATGGACCTATATCCTTGATCTGCAGTTCATCTGCAGCTTGAACGATATCAGTCCTTAACTTCTATTAAGAAATGTTCACATCTGATGCGAATCTTTGAGCGCTAGGAATTTAGAGTGGAAATTATGCACTGAAATTAATAATAATTATACAGTAAATTATATTAGGTATTTCACACTGAGTTCGTTAAATTACCCTATTTCCTCAATTTTAAGGTGTCATAGATTGTTAGACGCGCCCTTGATTTCGGAAACGATTTCAGGGAAAGAAGAAGCTATATCGATTCTTAGACGCCATCAAATGTAAGACGCATCCCGATTTCAGAAAGTGTAAAATCTGAAAAAATGCTCAAGTTAAAATGCGGTACTATGTCATTTAATTAACTCAAGGTAAAGCAAGTTTTCAATTTCTTCTCAAAATTTGCCTTCCTGTTTCAGACAATCGCTAGGATTCTTTTGGTGGGGACCAAAGGATTGCAAGATTTCTGCCTTTACGGAGCTGCCATGCATTCATGGCTCGAGAAGGATTCGAACACGCTTCCAGCTGCTCAAAACCGTCGGGAAACCTTGAAATGACTTTGGACATCACACTGAATTCTTTAATGTGAGCCGTTTCTTAATGGTCACTCTAAGGTCATAACTTTCAATAAACGCCTTGAGTGATTCACAATGATTTGCTAATCAGAAACACTTCTTTCCTTTTTGTTGTTTAATATCAGAGGTCAATGCAATCTGATCGAACGAGCAAGCCTATTTCTGCTCAGGCGTCTGGCTCATTCGAAGGATGATCCTGAACAGAATGCGCAATCCGACGGAAAACAATTAGCTAGGACATCTAACACTGCTAAATTTCGAGGCCGACTTCGGTAATTTCATGCCATAAAAACAACTGAAAAGTGTCCGTTAGCCAACTTTCATATGCATCAAATACTGCTCATTTCACTGACTATCTAAAATGATAACTTAAAGCTTTTCTCTGCGATTTTTACATATAAACTGTACTTACATACTCAGTGTACATCTTCCCACTTCGTTCTCACCTTAGGTCTATTTAACAACGTGATACATAAAGTACAGAAGCAAAATAGTTGTCTTTTTAACCATTATGCTTCAATTTCGTCCAGAAGCTTAAGCCACCATAAAATAATCTGAATTTACTCACAGCACCCCTCTCTACTGCCTTCATGTTGTTGAGACACAGTTGGTATCTTCAGAACATCCTTTCTGCTTCCTGCCAACTCCTGGTCGAGTGTCCGATAGAAATCACAGAGGACGAGATTTTTAACAGCCGATGTGGGACCACAGAGGTCAGGGACAAAAGACGAAGAGGAGAGATAAGAATCGAAGGAAGATGTTTGTCCTCTCTTGCTAACGGAATGAATTACGTTAGTATCTTCTCTTCAGAATAATCCGTAGGCTATTTACAATAGCCCCAGCTGTTAGTACAAGCTTATGCAAATAACATCAATCAACTCTGTAGCTCCTTAGCATTTGTGCGTTGTAATGGCAGTGGTGCCACCATCTCACAGCATGAAGATAACTGTAAGAGCAGAGCTCATCATAATGAAGAGATGTTTTCTAATTAATAGTCTAATTTTCGATCCACAATCACTAACAGACGTAGATTACATTAAGTGGTGCCATTCTCAAAGGCCAGAGGTCAAATTCCGGCGACCGTGCCAGAATTGTTACGCTGTGCGTACGTTGCATAACTTGACGCGTTTTGTTCTCTGCAGATGAGCAGACCCTTCTTCTAAGAAGTCCTGTCAACACTAAAGCAGGCCATATAACACTGAAACTTTTCCACTGTCAACTATAACGTGTGAAGATGAATGACGAAGGAAAAGAAAATATCTCAAAGTAAACAGACAATAATTCAAAAGACATTTGTCTCCGGTCGTTATAGATGCAAGAACAAGACCACCTCTTCAAACATCGAGGGTGATGGACTGCTGAAAGTAGACAACGAACTACCAACAAAGACTGGCACTGGACAACACCCTGAACTAAGAACCATTTTAATGTTATCCTCCCTTCTTCTCGGTCTTATAAACGGACATTTCATCAAGAGGTTTCTCCCAACAAAATTCTATATACATCCCTCGAAAACTTACACCCATGTGGATAAAGTATATATGACTTAAATTTTAGAGCGATGGTAGACTCAAGACAAAATTGAACTACGTCTGATATTCGATTTTTTTTGACAGGGCTTCATTTACACACATGTCATTCGAACTTAGAAAAACAAGCTTCTTATCTGCGTATCATTCATGCAATTAGATCACTTCTAAATTCATAATTATATACTGGATGATATTATTAAAACAGGTCTTAGGGGAACAAATTCTGCGGGTGTGGACCGGATTCGTATGGCTTAGGACACGGACCGATGGCGGCTCTTGTGAAAAAGATAATAAATCTTAAGTTCCACAAAATTCATGTAATTTCTTGACTAGCTGAGTTCCTGTGGCTTTGCTCCATGGAGCTGATTAGTTAATGGGATGTATACTGTATGCCACATATCATTACGTTAAAGCAGATTACAGATAGTCCTCGATTTGCGCCGATTCATAATAACGCCGATTTTGAAAGCAGCAAGTCAAAAAGTGAAAAAATTACTATTATTTATAACGTTTTACAATGTATCTTGTACTGATTCTTACAATAAATCGTAATTCTTACATCGCTGATTTTGAATAAAAAATATAAATACAGTCATTTCTGCAATTACGTATGTTTCGTTGACGCGAATTTGCTCCGATGAGATCGATGAATCGGTAAAAGCTGTTTGTGAAATGCAAACTTTTGCATATGCGAGTTTGCTCTTCTGCAATTTCATTCCTGGCGCTTTAAACTTTCAAAGGACTAATTTAATCTCTGCGGAGGTACCGGGGTTATTTTTACTACGCGGTTTTCTATTGGTCGGCGTCTTACATGAATGCAACTATCGCATAACAGCAGAGATGACTGTACACGTCATTCACATGAAAGAATCGCAGTCAATCGCGGGGACCAACGAATTGCCGATTGTAAGTGTATAAAATATATTTTTTAAATTCCCTTTATTTTATTTACGTTATTTCAGAGCTTTAAATGTAATGTCATTACATTACTCGTCAATGTTTGGGTGCCATTGACTTCCCATTGATTTACTTTATAAAAGAGTTTCAATTTACGCCGATTCCGTTTATGCCGGTTCGTCCAGGAACGCATCCCGGGCGTAAATCGAGGGCTACCTGTATAAGTATATCGCAGGAGAAGGAATTCGGGCGGAAGCAGTCTTAATCTGGTTCAAGGTATAGATACAGAATGTGCTTTATTAAGAAAACAAATGTTTTCTAATTTACCATCACCTTTACACACTAATTGGCGTGTTAGACGACACTATTACAACTGCTATTTACAGTTGAATGGGGTGAGGAATGACCAGCCCCATGCATGGCACACTGCAAAGAAAGGGGTTTAGTAGGTGTAGCTTATTCAAAGTTACAATCACTACATTCGCCAGGACGGACTGCGGATACACATAAAGACCTTCAATCATGAAAATCAGGATCACACTAATAAAAGGCATCGGTGACTGAGCTAACATTCTCCGTAATCATCAGCTCAGATCTGAGTAACACCGGCACGACAAAAGGAGAAAACGTTAGCAATTTGTTTAATACATTCTGTATTTGACTCGTGTCTGTTAAGGGAAAAATTAATGGAAATGAGAATGCAAAAATCAAACGCGTTGCTACGTCCCAATGGCAACATGCCTGCCCTGTCTTCAGGTACCTGATGTCATGAGGCAAGTTGTGGCTTTCTTCAGTCATTACTAGCATATTATGGGAAAATGTATTGCAACAACCAAGGGCCACTCTTACCTTCTTGAAAATTAGTTAATAATTTCTGTCTACATTTCTTAACTTACACAGTTCTTATATTATTCGTAAGTAATGTACGAAAATCGGCCACGCCATCCTGAGAAGTGGATCCGTGTTATTATTTTATGGTGTTCTATTTTATACTCTTATTCTTATTCTTTGTGCTCTCAGACGTACGCCTAATCACTTCAGCACAATCTCAGCTTTACTGGCAACAAGGATCTCTGAAACGTTGGTAAACTTCTACCATATTACACAGTGCTACAACCCAGAAAACAGCCATCTTTGTACTCACCGCCATATTTACTCCATGGAGCCGAGTCCTTCCTGTCGCTCAGCCATTCATGAAATTTCCAACATTTTATGGAACTCGAAGGTTCACTACCGTGTTCATTAAAGCCAACCACTGGTCCCTATCCTGAGCCAGATAAATTCAGTCCATCATCCTATCTCTCTATGATCCCTTTTAGTATTGTCCTCCACCTACGTCCAGGTCCTTCCAGAGGTCTCTTCCCTTCTGGTTTCCCCACCAAAACTTCATATGCATTCATCTTCTCTTCCATGCAGGCTACATGCCCTGCCCATCTAATCCTCCTCGACCTGATCAGTCTAATTATATGTGGCGAGCAATACAGCTTATGAAGATCCACCTATATAATCGTATATGTCCTTCAGCAGACAAATAATTTCTATCGTCATCCAGAACGCAATTTACTGTATTTTAATCTCCTGCCACCAAATTTTGGTATATATTTTTTTTGTTCTGGGGTTTTTCCAAGAAAACGCTAAATAAAATGAAGGGCGATGAAATATGTGCGACGTGTAGCATGCATTGAGAAAACGAGAACAGTCGGAAAACCTTACGAGATATAAACGCTTGGGAATCCTTGCCGTAGATTGGAGTATAATATTAAAATGGACTTATAGAAATAGGGTGGGAGGGTGTGAACTGAAATTAATTGACTGAGAATAGGGTCCAATTCCGAGCTCTTCCCACAGTAACTAACCTTCGAGCTAATTAGAGGGGGGATATTTACTGATAAGCTGAGTAACTATCAACTTGTGAAGGAGAATTCTGTTCCATAAAATTGGTTAGAAAAAAAAGGCATATTTTTCCGAAATAATTTCGCAGCATTTCTATGGACATTTCGCCTTACATCTTCCTTGGACAAATTATTTGCACCTCGATTAGATTACAAAATATTATACAGGTGGACACAATTTCAGGACATCGTAATGGTGCTCACAAAACAAATCCAATTTTAAAAAGTAGAAAGTGATTTTCGCCATTACCGTAGAAGTGTATAGTTCCTTTATTTTCGGTTTGAGAGCTACACTGTCATTAAAAATAAATGTTTTTAACGGGTTTGGAAACAGTTAACAAGAAATAGTATTAATAATAATTTGAATGATGTTGCAGTGCTCCGTGAGTTTCGTAACTCGCGCTCTTGGTATAGTGTCACACTAGCAGGCAAACAGGTTCAAGGTCATTTGCTTGCATCAAGTCTCGACTATTAATTACAAGCTATTTTTCTTGTTGAGTGTCTGTGTAGAGGTTGAAGTAAGAGGCCGTAGAAGCTGCGTCTGTCTCCGTCGTGTACTGTTTGTTCTTCTGAAATAGAATCCGTCCTTCACAAAGCATTTCTTACATTTACAATGTCTGAGAACAGCACATCCTCAACTCCGGTCATCAACTTCGGAGCCGGTCCAGCCAAACTTCCAGAAGAGGTACTTGTTTACGTCACTGTGGTACAGGCAGTATAAAAACGTTTTGACGCGCAAACTCTACTAATGTCATTAATTATCGCTGAACGAGAGAATTATTATAGCAATTGTGAAACCTTTCATCCATACAGTATTCACGTGCTCTCTGCGCTAATTTCGCTCAAATACCTGCCTCGTCCATGTTCGCACCATTAATCTGTCAGGGCTTTTAAATAAGCGGCCACTTCAACTCGAATACGAACAAAATCACCGTCTATAGGCCTCAGAATTTTTGATTTGGTATGAGTCAACATGCGCGATCAATTTTTTTTGCAAACCCTTCTTACGCCTTACTGCATCACGTTTGTGTATGACTCATAGTTGGATTTTAATTAAAATTGGTAGGAATATACTATTAAAGTAGGGCCCAAGTATTCTCTTTCACTGATAACAGTAACATTTCAGCATTGGGAACTCTGATGTTTGAGTGACACTGACATGCTGAATCTGGGCGCAATGTTTAATATGAAATATTCTACCAAACTACATGGAACTACAACACAGAAGACAGCCATCTTTATAAAATATTTGGTTTGTGGGATTTTTGTACCAACATGGCTGTCATGTGAAATCTATCCTTGGCTTCCTCTTTGGTGGTGATAATTTAACTTTTAGCCTAGAACTGGGAATGTAAAATTTGATCTGGCAGTAGATCATAATACTTACTAGACATTATTTCTCTGCAAAGTCCATGGCTGTGACCTGACACTTCTTTTGAAGACAGTGATGTCAAAGCTGGCATAGTATAAGGGCATGGGTGGCTGTGAGACCCACCTTATAATGTACAAAGCAGGCTCTCTAGAAATGCAGAAAGTTTATAAAAAAAAGTTGGAACTGTTGGTACTGTGTTGATCTTACAGAAGGTCAAATGACATATTATTAAGCCACATGTTTTGCAAACAAAGATGTGATCTTTGTATGGACAACAGTAGAGCAGCTATTATAGCAACAGATAAGTACAGGGCACAAAGTTAGAACTTAATGTATTCAGGAATGAAGCTATTGTTATTTAATTGTGGTTAATACAAATTTGTGAATCAGAAACCAATTGAAAAGGTGCTAATAATGTAGACTACAGGTGATCAGAAACTACTAAAGACTTATAATATAATTGATTGGGTTTGTTTGAGGTTCTGCAAGAAGTGCAGAGGGAATTGCTCTATTATGGCACAACCAACATAAGTGTCATGGAGATGAGTCACCGCTCTGCAGATTATGCTGTCATTAATGATGGTACCCAACAGGCTGTTAGGGACCTTTTGTAAGTACATCTCCAGCCATTATGGTGCAGTGTCTCATTAGCACACTGCTTTGTCTGTCAAAACATACGGATGATAAATTGATAGAATAAATATAATGCTTAGTGAAACTGAAAAAAAAATGTCAGAATTATACTAATCTTCATTTTACAAATTATAAACAGATTATAATGTCAACACATTTTAAGAATGAATGCACTTTATTTGGTATACATAATCAATTTTTCCTACAATAAAAGCACATTGTCCATCTCAGTCCTACCTAAGTTACTGTTTACTTGTTATGTACCTGCTGTAATATAAATTCTTAAGTGTAATTTTTTTCTGAAATTATTCAATCAGAGGGTGATTAATAAAGTCACTTGTGTTTCTGAGTATGCCCAGATATTTGAAGAATATCACCCTTGTATGTAAGTTTCACTTTGTTATTGATGATGTCCATGACATATCTTCACATTTTTCTAAACATGCTTCATGCAATTTCTAATGTACAGGAACTTCCATTACAGAAGTTGAAAGGAGTTTGAGGAGCCTGTTATTTTGGTGGATGGACAAGTTCTCATCTGGCCATGGAGCAGACAAGAAATCTTTGATTACCTCTAAAGACAGAAGTCTTTTGAGAAGCTCCACAATTTGTACTGTTCAGCAGATTTTATTAGGATGATCAAATCAAGGATGAGATGGGTGGGGCATGTAGTGTGCATGGTGAGATGTAAAATGTGTACAAATTTCACTTGGTAGTCCTGAAGGGAACACGGCACAAAGGAGATGGAAGAATAATGTTAAAATGGGTCTTATGAAAATAGGGGTTGGAGGGTGTGAACTGGATTCATCTGGCTTAAGATGTGAACCAGTGACAGGCTCTTGTGAAAATATTGAAACTTTGGGTTCTATAAAAGGTGGGGGACCTTCTTCAATAGCTGAGTGACTACCAGTTTCTTAAGAAAGACACCTATTCATGGAATTACTTGTTGAGCGAGTGAAACAATATAATGAATGAGCTTAACACTGCTTCTTTGCTACCAGCTTCTCATTATTTTTAAATTTATGGGCATTTTGCATCATTGAGAAATCTGTCTTGTCATGTACAACCAATAAGCCATGGTTTTCTTGTTTTTCTTTCAGATGTTTCCAAGTCATCAGTTTAGAAACAGCTGTAGTGTTAGTCATATTTATTTATATGTGCATTTCAGGAACATTCCAGACAATTACAAGATCCTGTTCATGCAGGGTGGAGGAACAGGCCTCTTTGCTGCTGTACCTTTGAACCTCATGTCTGAGACTGGCTGTGCAGACTACATAGTAACAGGTAAGAAATGAGAAACAGAATATTCCACTGAAAGGAGCTGTGCTTGGTGATATGATGCGGGTACTTGTCATTTTTATTTGTACAGGGTCTTGGTCAGCAAAGGCAGCTAAGGAGGCAATGAAGTATGGCAAGGTAAATATGGTTGTGCCCAAGACTGACAGCTATGTGGACATTCCTGAACAAAATACCTGGATTCTCAATCCTAATGCATCGTATGTCTACTACTGTGCCAATGAGACTGTTCATGGTAAGTTCATCTTTGTTACTGTAGCAACAGGAATTTGAAAACATCTTAGAAACCATAAAGATCAGTACCACTGAAAAAAGTAAAGTAAGAAATAAGAACAAATAAAATTGCACTCTATTTCAAAAACTGAATGAATAAAAAAAGAAAGAGAATAGTGTAAAACAGAACATGAGCAGCTAAATGAGAAAGCAGGAAAAAATAAATGCATGTTTGTATTTGCATCTGTCACCAACAATACCTTCCTGTTTCTGTGACATGGTGAATGAAATTTCCCAAATTAAAGCTGATTGAAACATGCATTGATTCCTTAGTTTTGCAAGAAAGCCTTACTGGGATATCCATCTTGTCAGCAGAACATCAAATTACACAGAACAGTGAACTGAAAGAGCTCATTTCTAACTAACTAACTGGCTCAGGGAACCTAAAGGTTCATTACCAAATTAAATTTCTACATTTGCTAAACCAAATATAAAATTCTAAACTGTAATGTGGATTTCTTTCAGTACATATTTTGTATAAAGTGTACAACAATGACCATGCCCATTCAGTATCACATTATTCTCCTTTATCATGTAAACAAAATCTGAAATTATAAATGCAATATTTGTATTTATACTAATGCACAATCTTTATTTTCAGAGGTTGATTTGGGGGAGGGGGGGGGGAGGCTGAAGATTCACCTAGGTTTAAATCTGTTTTTTGTCAGGAAACAATTTATTTATTTATCTGTTGGATTATTTAACAATGCTGTCAATAGCTCAGACTGTAACAAATCATGTGATAATTTAATACTGATATTGAATCTGTGTCATTAGAAGCAGAATAAATTGTCTTGGTACCCAACAAATGAGACTGCCTTTTGTGTATGTGTGGAACAAGTCATTGTAAAGACAAAAATACCAAAATGATTTTTAACCATCTAACTCCATGCAGCAGAGGGTCCTTCTGAGAAGCTGATAATCATGCTAGTAGTAAAGAAATTCCTTGCCTTTTATGTAACCTGAAGATTCACAAGAGCCCAACACTGGTCTCTATCCTGAGCCAGGTGAGTCGAGTTCACACCCTCTCACCCTTTTCCATCAAGTTCCATTTTGATATTATCTTCCCATCTATGCCTAGGTCTTCTGAGTGGTCTTCCTTCAGAATTTATAAGTAATTCATTTATTCACTGCAGTGTTTTTCCTATTGCAGGTGTGGAATTTCCTTTTATCCCAGATACTCAAGGTATTCCCCTTGTGGCTGATATGTCTTCTAATATTTTGTCTCAGCCTTTGGATGTTTCCAAGGTAAAGTGTGCCAAGTTTTCAAGTAGCAGATTTTATTATTAGTAGTATTGTATAAAAATATTAGAATTCTCTCATAAATATGCTGTTTGTAAAAATGAAAAAGGATTTGGTTAAGGGTGAGAGAATGTATGCTGAAACCAGTTCTTTGATTTTCAGTGGAGTTCTGTGAATGAAGCACAACACATGTATACGTATAGTTTACTGATCCAGAAAATATACACTGAAGATTGTTGTCTTGTGTGAGTTTTTCAGACAGTGTAGCCATGAAGCAAATTTAAGGATTACAGGCTGGCCAGACTTGACAGAAGGAGCATCCAGCTATTCTGCCTGAGTCTGTTCTCCTCTCTCTCTCCCCCCCCCCCCCCCCCCCCACCACAAAAAACTCATTGTACCTTCTGGATAGAAATTAACCTTTAAGGCAGACCAAATGTTATATACTGTAGACACTACATACCAGTTCATATGAATATTCTACATTTCTGTAACGAACATATGTAATGTTTTGAAGCTCATAAATATTAACAAATTTACCATAATAGCATTCCTCTCCCATATTAAAAATGAGTGTGCTGTTTTAGAGTAATTTTTATTTAGGAATGATGGAGTATTACATGTTATGCTCAGCTACTTGATTGAAAGGATATGAAACAAATTAAAATGTATGGCATTCAAATCACATCTTTAAACACTGTATTTTCAAAACAGAGATTTTAATTCCTATAATAGGAATTTAAAATATACTTAATCCAGTAGATGCATTATTGGTTTTGTATGCAGTTTGGAGTGATCTTTGCTGGAGCCCAAAAAAACATTGGTCCTGCTGGTGTAACATTAGTGATTGTACGAGAAGATCTACTGGGAAAGGCAGCTGTCACTTGCCCTACTGTCCTAGACTTTACTGTCATGGCAAAGGACAACTCTCTTCACAATACACCTCCAACATTCTTGTAAGATCATAAACAAGTACAGTTACCAGAGTTTTTTTATCTCAAGGAAATTATGCTCATTTTAATGTAAAAGGAAATCTTAATTTGTAAGAATTTAGTGGTAGTATTAACAATTTATTTTAAGGTACTTTATAGTATTTATAACTATAACATGCAAATACAAAATAAATCATCTTGAGAAAAATAATGTGAAATTTGGGTGCAATATAATCATAAGCCATCATGTAAGACTTGAGGTTCTCACAGCGGTGAGTATGAAGATATCCGTCTTCTGGGTTATTGCGCTGTGTAGTCTGGGCCATCATGATGGTTTTACTGCAGGAAAAAATGTCTATTTCGGTATCATCATCTAGTATAGCACATCACATTAAATTAAGAATAATGTATTCAGTCACAGTGCTAGAAACATTAACTGTCCACTCCTTATTCTTCCATTCATACAAGACCTGTTTATGATTTTGCATATAGGGTTTCTTTGAATTTGCAGCCCTCTAAGTACAAATTATGGAGCAAGATGAAAATGTCTTATGTCTTACCATTTTTCAGTTTACAATTCCACATTAGGGTCACTCTTTTTGATTCAATCTCATTTTTATTACTTTTGAATATGTAAAGAGAGAATATTATTTGCATTTAAGAAACTATAAACAAATCTAAAAATATTGAATGCTTAGAAGGTGTTAATTTTTAAAGACTGGACTACAATTAGCAACTCTAGCCTCATCTAAAGTCTAAAGTCTAAAATCATACCTATGTTGTGGTTTGTACTGTAGGATATATGTCATGGGACTAGTATTCAAATGGATCAAGAGAAATGGTGGAGCTGAAGGGATGAAAAGAATGGCAAAAGAGAAGAGTGGTATCATCTATGATCTTATTTCTTCTTCAAACAATTTCTACTATTGCCCTGTGAAGAGTGCTGTTTGCAGTCGGATGAACATTCCATTTCGTATTGGTGGACCAAATGGAAATGATGATTTGGAGAAGGAATTCCTTTCTGGGGCACAGAAATTGGGAATGTTGCAGCTCAAAGGTCACAGGTATGTTGGAAAAAATATGTGTCCTGGTTACAACCAACTTTAACTCTAAGCACAAGAGATTTTTCAAAGGCACAAAGAAAAATAATTTGGATTTCATATTCAGGAACCTTTTACACTCATAACGTTAATCCAAATTCTGATTTCTGGTTGAAGTTGTAGTCAGATACTTTTTGTGTGTTATTCACACCTACATTTGTATGTACACTTTCGTCTGAAACAGATGAATGGAAGAAACAAAACTGTGTTGAACTATATTGTAATTAGAAAGGGCGAAAGTTATCCCATGAATGTCTGTGGATATATTAAACTATGCAACTGCTTTGTCATTCATGTCATCCTTATGGTGTCCATGGTCTCATATTTTTACATAGATATCCTGTGATATTCTAGAATTACTGGTGAGTATTTGGGATATTCAAATGATATATATAGAATGTTCATATTAGTATGAATTTTTATAATGTTAATACTTATCTTCCACATTCTTTCTTTAGAATTCTGCAAACCACATTGTACATAACGTTAATTTATTTCAGGTTAACACTTACTGATGCAAAGCTAATCAATAGTAAATTCCACACAATCATAAATTGTATTCTGCTGTTGACAAAACTAAGCATGAAAGTATAGTTCATAGAGGTAGAGAAAAATCTTCTTATGGGTGACAGTTTTAATTCATTTAAAATAATGTGACTTGTCCAATCTGTCACCACTCACTACATTGACTGAGCCATCCTGACTAAATTTGAAGGACAGCTTAAAAATGCACACACACAGAAATGAGAACATTTTTATTGGCTGCTGTTATACTTTTTTCACCATGAAATAATTTCTGTACCTTAGGCATGTTACAACATACATTTGCAAGTGAAACACTTTATTTGAATTACTGACTGCAAACAGGTGATTAATGTAACTGATTTATAGTTTTATTTGTAGTATATAATGTAAAAAAGTTAATAATTAAATAATATAAAAGTGAAACCTTGCTGTTATTTATTTTCAGGTCAGTAGGTGGTATACGAGCATCATTGTACAATGCTATAACAGTGGATAATACTAAGGCATTAGCAGCATATATGAAGGAATTCTATCAGACTCATAAGAAATAAAGCAGAAAAAATCATCTGTATTCATACAGAAACATTTTTTATGTTTTAAGATACCTGATCTTAATAATGATCAACAGTGAAAATATTATTAATTTTTAGAGAGTATAAAGTTACTCATAACTCTTTTTCTTACTAGGATTATCCCAGGTGGAAAACACAGCACACTTTGTTCATGGTTATTCAATTTAACTTTTTGGTTAGACTAGTACTGGTTACAAAAGTATTATAAACAAATGTCTCAGACATAAGTGAATATTTACAAAATTCTGGCTAATCAGAATTAAGATACAGTCATTCATACATAACAAACATGTAACCATCAACACACACAAAATTTTGGATAAAATGCCATTACATAATTTTGAAAGAAAACAAATGATGAACATATTTAAGATTGTAAGACTTGAGGTTCTCACACCAGTGAGTATGAAGATTTTTTTCAAATATGCTGTGTTACGTTAAGGTAGCAACAAACTTTTTTAGATCAATGTAAAAATTCTAATCATCAAAAAAGATTAAAGAAAATTAATTTTAAATGCATTAAGTGGCAGTGAGAATGTTATGTACAGTGAAGTTTAGTACTGTATCTTGAATATTTTAATACCTAAATGAATTTGAAACTTCAAGAAAAGACTGAGAATAATGTTCCCATTGGAGTGAATGAAACGTGACATACAGTTCTCAGATGTTACTTCTGTTTAATACTGCAAATACACAATTTCCAACCAAGTGTTCCAGTGACAGAGTACATTATCTTAGGAAGTGTTTAGAGCAGCTTATTGTGTGTTTGTGTGTAATAAAATAAACTTAGTAAGCAAAACTGAATGAACCACATGGCATACTTTATTAATAATCATGTAAAATCAGAACTCAGGCGACTATCATGATAAGAACTGACATATAAACTTCACACATTTTAGAAAATGGGCAGAAACAAAACTTGTTCCCTCCCAATCAACAGCAAGATTCTTTTATCATTATGGACAATGCTAGTTATCACTGTGTTCAGGCACACAAAAAACCTACTGTTGTGAAAGACATAATAAAATGACTTTAAGACAACAGTGTTACTTTTGAGTAAAATATGCTTTAGGTGGAATTACTTGATTCAGTGGAAGAGGCGCTGAATAAAAAATGCTATTGGACTGGCAAGATGATTGAAGCTCAGGGACATGATGTTCTCCACATTCCCCATACAACGTAGACCTGAACCCAACTAAATGTGTGTAATCTGATGTAAGAGGTGAAGTCATGAAAGAGCTGTCAAATAACAGTACAAAAGAAAGTGATGTGTAAAGAGCTACTTGCAAAATACTCCACACAGAAGCAGAGAAACTGCTGTGAACATTTGAAGAAAACCAATCATATTGGCAGTCTAATGAAATGATAGAAGAAATGAAAGGATCATTAGGCCATGAAATGATTTTGATACCAGTGACAGTGTGGGAAACACCAATTCTTGAGAATCAGACTAGTGTAAACTGACTTTCCACCTTGTACTTTCTCCCACCTTTGTCACATGATGATAGCTGCTGTATAAGCAGCAGGTCTTTTTCTAAGTTGTACAACTATTTATGCACATTAAAAGTATAACAATGTATGCATGAATTTATAGTTCTTGGTGTGTGATCATTTCAAATCATTATTATTTGTGTTGTATACATATTTTGAGGGCTGCTTCATTGTTTAACATGGAGACAAAGTTTATATCTTGTGAGGACTGATCATTGCGTATTTGCAACAAATATATAAATTTGATTCATATACAAATTTTCTGGTATAGCTGCAGCTTTGAGTTTGGTGGCAAGAATATCAGATGGGTAGAATGGTTCATAATGTGATTGTGAGGATCAAGGGTGAGAGGGGGGTGAAGAAAGGAGAGGGAAGGCACTCACTTCTGCAAGCCTTCCCAATCATAAATGTGTTAAAAACATAGATATATGAAATGTTTAGTACCTGAAGACTGCATCCTAGAATAGTGGGCATCAAAGAACACTTGAGTTATGTAACCCAAAAAAGAAATTACGTGAATCAAACACAAATTGTACTTGAAATCATTTGCCTTGTTATAATTAATACTTATAACAAGACTGCATTTCTGCAATACCATTATAGCATATGGAATATAGTTTAAAATCATAACTCCTGTACATTCTCAAACTCACATCAGGATATCACTGGAACAAGTGTGTGTTAACAGATAAACATTTTCTATGAATCAGTACCTAAAAATGTTATAAAGTATACAAATATTTTAAAATAAACATGTGGTATACACTCAAATTATGTTAACTCTGTTGTAAACAAGTCTGCAAGTTATAATTTTGGTTTCCAATTTCTATTGCTCTCTCCTGATCAACTCCACAAATGTGTTGTGCTTCATTCCGCTTTGATGAGTAGCACTTACCACAGCGTGCACAACTGAAAGGTTTCTCACCTGTGTGATGTCGATTGTGCGCTTCAAGATGAGACCTTTGAATGAAGGCCTTGTCACATGAAGAGCACTGGTATGGACGCTCCCCATTATGAGTTCTAGAATGTATAACTAGAGAACCACTGTCACGAAATGTCTTGCCACATTCAGTGCATTGAAATGGTTTCTCACCCATATGATTTCTCATGTGATACGTAAGGCCACACTTATGAGCAAACCTAGCATTACATACTGTACACTGGTATGGTTTCTCACCAGTATGCATTCTCATGTGACTCAGAAGAGCACTGTTTTGACTAAAACTTTTACCGCATACAGTACAGAGAAAGGGTTTCTCTCCAGTGTGAATTCTCATGTGTCGTGTACGAGTACTTTGATCAACAAATGATTTTCCACACAGTTTACATGGAAATGGCTTTTCACCACCGTGACTTCGCATATGCACCATGAAGGAACTGTTACCACCAAATGCCTTCCCACATAACGTACAAAGAAAAGGCTTTTCCCCTGTATGAGTCCTGAGATGTATTTTGAGGCAATTAGAATTCCCAAAACATTTCTCACACAAGTTGCACTGGAAAGGCCGCTCACCAGTATGTATTCTCATATGTTTTGTAAGGGAAGCATTATCACCCAGATATTTTCCACATACACTGCATGTAAATGGTTTTTCTCCTGTCATATGAACCCTAGAGTGTCTCACAAGAGCACTGTTTTGTGTAAACGTCTTGCTACACTTGCTACAGTGGTATGGCTTCATGCCTGTATGCACTCTCATATGTAACACTAAACTGTCCTTTCTAACATAGGTTACTCCACATTCTTCACAGTCAAATGTTTTTTTCTTCTTAATCTCATCAGTAGGTTCTTTTGAAGCTGTAATTTTTGTACTATCAACAGCTACTTCAGTGTTTGTTTGATGAACTGCCCAATGAGTGCTTGATGAGTGTGTAACAGAACTTTTGATGGGAGACCTGCATTTCAGACATCTGTATTATATTGTAGAACATCCATATATAATTAAACTAAGTGGGTTAGAAAAAAATATCAATTAATACTTCCCATGTTGCAAATTATAAGTTTAGAAAAGGACCAACAGTTTCTGCTTCTCTTTTATTTACATTTATTGGATAAGTTACATACTGAAAAACATTTGGCTCATAAGAGTAAATATCATAGGTTGCTTCAATTCACGCAGTAATTAATGTGTTTTCATAATGAAAAATGTGTATGTGAAAGCACAACATCACAGAGATAGCTCAGTCAATATACTGACTGGCTACAGGCTGGACAATTACCTTATTCAATAGGTACCAGACACACTTTCCTCAAGGACAAAGTAGATGGTGCATGAAACAGACTACTTACTTCCATTTGGTGCCAAGGTTATGAATGACTAGAACTATATCTCCATTCCCCCATTCACGAACATGGTGTGACAAGCATAGGAACAATAATCACTACCTACCTCTGATCATCATCACTACTGTCTGTCATAAGTGAATGTTCTTCAACTTGCACCTCCACCAGTAAGCCCTGGTCCTCTTCATTACTGCTGACTGGTATCTCAGAAATACACTTTCTGTTGGGATTTCTTTCCTGCAGTAAAAGTACATCACATTTTAGGCTTAATGTAGGCATAACAGTTTGTTTATATAATAGTCAGTATTATATAGTTTTGTTAATTTAATATAATATCTAAAATATTGATACCAAACAATTTAGTACAAAATACATCAAGTACTACTGCATAAAATACAAACAGAGAAAATGCATTTCTATCTTATCCATTAATTCCCCTGCAGTCCAGTAACAAAATATAATATCCAATTTAATGCCACCTGTATTTAAATTTTCACAAACAACACAAGTCTTAAAGAATCCAGCAGCTTACTTTAACACATTTTAGCACAAATGCTGAGATCCCGTGGCGTAACAGCTCCAGAGAGCCAAAGCCGACTAGCTTGACTGCTGGCCTTACGTTCACATGCCTAAGCAGAGGTGAACGATCATCCAACCAGATATAGGGTGACGTGTGGTCAGCACGACGAACCCCCAGCCATTGCTAGTTTTCATGACCGGATTACGCTACTCATTGTAGCTCCCCAATTTCCTCACGATGCTGGGTTGGCACCGGTCCCATACACTGGTCGAAAGCTCGTGAGAAAATTTCTTCTCCTCCGAGACTCGAACCAGCGCATTCCGTATCGCCGGTCCAAAGCATGATGCCTCAGACCGCGCGGCTATGGCGCGGGACACAAATGCTGAGATAAACGGCATATATCTGTATTGGTTGTAAAATGGTACATTTATCAGCTTTTAAAAATAAAGCTACACATAAGTTCACACTACTACATCCAGTGCCACAATGACTGGTCGACCGTGTGTGAGTTACCATAACTCTGAAACAGAAAGTTTTCTAATATTTCAGTTATTTTGTTACCTTTGTCAAAGCAAGTATGAAAGCTGCCAGACTGTCTGCACTGTTCTATACCTTGTTGACTGTTATGGGCTCTAACTGATCCATGTATCACAACAGCTTATACAGGGCCATATACAAAGGCTGCATCTGGGTTTCATGCATTCTACTGTACAATGTGTGTTGGAACTCCTTTTTTAGTGTTAAAGTATAACAGTTAATAAACAATGCAAGAAGCACAAAACAGGAATGGAGCTCTACAGATAGCTGTGGTATCTGATGAAGTGTGTTTAAAAATAATACAAATACTCCAATAATTTGGTCTTCCTACTAGGAAACCAAAAAGTCAATGATAAATTATTTTGGAGGAGAAACCATTATCAGATTCAGAGAAAGCAAATTTAATGTACATTACATGTTGCACTTATATGTTATTCAAATGGAATAGACAGTTTCAAGTTTTGACTCTCCATTCCATGTAAAAATTATGACTTTTAATTTTGCAAGATTAAAAAAAATAAAATATAAAATGCATATTTTACAGTTTTCCAAACTGTATGATTTACATTTGCAGTTCATACTATTAACTATATATAAAGCACAAGATTGCAACACTATTGTATTACCTAACATCTAGTTCGACACAGCAAAATTACATACAATACGCCAT